CTGCGCGGAGGCCTTGCAGGGCCGTAGTTATGCGTAAGAGGGAACTTCCACGTGAGTTGCGCGGCAAATCAAGTTAACGGTTTTCGGGTGTGTCTACAACGCGCAGTGTACACTTTGAAGTGCCGCTGCCGCTGCTTCGTTCTAATTATGGTCCACGCCCAGTTTCGCTACGGCAGCGCCGCGCACCGACTTGCCCGCAGATTTTGTGTGTGTGTGTGTGCAGTGGCATGCAACAGTCCCATTCTTCAAACGCAAGGGCTGTCGATCGGAGTAGCAGCAGCTCACCCGCGCGGAAAAAAAAAACTGTGAAAAAAAAACGCGACCACTCCCCTTGAGGAAAACACAAACGTGGTATGGCGAGTAAATAAATAAAAAAACAAGGAAGAAAGGAAATAAAATTGCAAGTGACGTTTTCGAAATGAAGTACTGTTGCCGTGCTTACAGTGCGCCCCCCGGTGAGGCGGCCCGGCCCGGTAATTAGAGCGCTGGTCTTGAGGCGTGCGAACGGCGGGGCGGGGCGGGGCGGGGTGGGGCGCGGCGCACCGCGGGGGCTAGTTGTCCCCGGCCCCCACGCGGCCCATAAAAAGGGAGGCTTCCTTTGAAAGTTTAAACAACCCGCCACCGCCGACACGGGCGCGGAGAGGGGGTGAGGGGGGGTGAGGGGGGGTGAGGGGACGACCTCCTCCGGTGTACATTTCTGGTAGTGCGGAATCAATTATGGAGGGCCAAATTAAAGGGGGCGTTGTCGCGCCGGGCCGCCAGGGGGCGCCACGGCGGCGGCCTGCCCGCCCGCAGACTGACTCCGAGAGTCGTTTGCGTCGCTCCGTCTCTCTCGCACCTGTGAGGGACGCCCCGTGAGTGCGAGAGAGACAGAGCGGCGAAATCGACTCTCGGAATCGGTCTGCTGCTGGATTGACGGCGCTGCACGCGCCGCTGCTGCCGCTCGGCGGAGATTGATCACTCAGCAAGACGTACGGTACTGCAAACCCTTCGGAATCCGAGCCCGGAAGAGGCTGTGTGTGTGTGTGTGTGTGTGTGTGTGTGTGTGTGTGTGTGTGTGTGTGCCTCGGAATCAATGGCGGTGTTGTGGCGTATGCGCACCGGGAAAGCAGGTTGGCTGGATCGGGTCGGCGCCGGTCGCGAAGTACGAAGTGGGGCAGCGTATCAACTTTGATCGAGTCCTCCCGGAAACGCCCTGCCCTCCCCTCTCGGCGCCCGCACTGTGTGTGTGTGTGTGTGGTGTGTGTGTGTGTGTGTGTGTCACCACCTGGCTTGCAGGACGGGTGCGGTAATGCAGTGTGGCGGCCCCCCGCTGACTGTGTGTGGTCTTGGCCCGCCGTCGCTGCCTCCACTCCGGTACCAGTCTGACAGACCGAGTTTGGCGTCCCGTTGTTCCGCAATTTGTGAAATGTTTGACACCAATTACCCCCCTCCCTCCACGCGGCTGCACGGTGCCTGCAACCCCCGCGGGGGCTCGCTGTCGCCGGCAACTCGACGCGGCGCGCTCGGATTTTTAAAAACAATACGTCGGAAATAAAAGTAATAATTCGGCGCGCTCGCTGCGCTTGCTCCATGTGGGCTTGCCGTGTTGTTTCTTTATATTAAAATGGCGGGGGCAATGAATAATCAGTACGGCACACAAATCCCCGTGGTGTGGCGCGGGGCATAAAGAGATCGCACACAGTGACACACAGTGGGCCAAAACTCTAGACGCGTTTTGAGCTCCAGATTCGCTTTAACAGGACTCGAAACGAACGAGCGACCCCGCCGATGGATTCCTCGTTCGGAGGGCAATCCATTGGTGGGGTCAGTCGTTCGTTTTGAGTTCCATTTATTGGCTCTGGAGATGAAAACTCGTTCGGGGTTTAGACCGCCTCCACCGGTCTTCTGGCCCATTGTGCGCTGCCATGGATTAAACAGGCAGCAGGTTGTAAACTACACAGTGCGCTATTATCGGATCCAGCGCGCGCATCATATCATTGGCCGGCATTTGATTAGCAGTGCTGCCGGCGTCGCGTGCCTACACTGCTCGCCGCGCTGAGTGCGTATGGCCCGGGGCGGCCACAGGCGGCCAGGCCCGGTGCAGGCCTGATGTTGTTTAATGTGCGTTATCAAAGCAACCCTATCCCGTCCGGCCCTGCAGTAACGCGCCGCACAGGCAGGATCTGATAGCCGCAAACCAGGGCGGGAGGAGTGAAAAACAGCGCCGTGTTTTTGTTGTTTTTATTCATCTTTTTGTTGCGAATTTCAGCTCGGGAACTTAGTTTGCGACCGCGGCCGGGCTGTGCCTCGCTGTGCCTCGCTGTGCCAGGGTCAGGTAGAAGGCGGTGGAGGTCGCGGGCCCCGCGGTGACACCGGGTAACGTGCAGCCAACGAGTCCCCGATATGTATTCCCCCGTTCCGTATTCCGCCCACGTCCGCCCACGTCCACCCGCACGCGGTGGGGACGGCGTGGGACGGGGCGGGTGGCGCGCCCAGATGGCACGCCGTGCAGCACGCCGTGCATGCCGCCATAAAGGTGCACTGTTCCGCCCGTTCGGACGATCGGCCGCACTTCGGGCCGGGTATCCAGTTTCAAACACCTCTATATTGATACGCGCCCTTGCATATCAGGTGTGAAGGGTGCGGCTCACACCGCCGGAGGCGGCCAAAAGTCCAGACGCGTTTCGAGCTCCAGAGTCACTAAATAGTACTCGAATCGAGCGTGTGACCTCGACCTCACGAATGGATGCCACGTTCAGAGAGCCATCCAACGGTGGGGTCACACGTTAGGTTCGAGTCCTGTTTAGCGACTCTGGAGCTCAAAACGCGTCTGGAGTTTCGGCCGCCTCCACCGGTCTTCTGGCCCACCGTGCGGCTACGGCGCAGTAATACGGCGGGTTCTCCTGTGACCTTAGGGAGAACGGAAAGGAGTGGCAGGTAGGCTAACTACCACCCGTTCGCCGCGTTGACAGGCAGAGACAGGCGGTTCGACGCTTCCACAGGAACCGATCCGTCATCAGTCCCCCGGTATGCAGCTCGCCATAAATTGGAGGCACCACAGACAATCGCACGGCAACCAGGCCCGCGCCCAAGGCCTACAAACACACGCCTGTTACACGCCACACTGTATTTTTCCATCACATGCGTGAGCGTGTGTGTTTTGTTATTTTCCCCCCTCGTCGTCCGTTTCTGTTTATTTTCAAAAAAGACACACAAAAAATGGAAAAATCCGGCGGTGGAGACAAATGAGTTTGCCACTGTCATAGGGAGAACGGCGGAACCTCTGTATCGAGTGGGGGAAGGAAAGGGGGTGCCCGACGGACGGGGGTGGCGCGCGCGTCTCAAATTTCAGCCCGCGGAAAATGAGGAAGCACGTCGTAGGAAAAGACTGCGGTGGACCGGAAAAGGGGGAAAATAATAATGCGCGTTCCGTGCAGTGTCTGCTTTAAATGTGAGATGTGTCTTGAGCTGAATGGCGGCAGCAAAGCAGGTGTGCCGTCGGAGACACGGAGCTGGAGTTTTCGAGTGCTGCGGGCTGGGGTGGCGGGGCTGGAGCGGGGCTGGAGCGGGGCTGGCAGAGGTTTGGAGGGCTGTCGTGTTTTCCGCCGCTCCTCGCGCACAAGTAATCAAGTTTCCCCAGTATCTGAAGCACCCTTAACGGCACGAGTAGAGTCTGATATTGTTAGTGACAGGGCGCGCGGCGTATGCTCCGCCCCGCATCGCCCGCCCAGGACGGCGGCGGTGCGCTCGAGTGGAAATATGATTTCTCGGCGGCGGTGCCACGGCGGTGCCGGCGCGGTGCGCGGTGCTCGCTCGCAACAGACTGACGGCGGATATCGAGGCGTGCTGCCCCGCGCGTCGTCCGCGTCATCCGCGTCAGCAGACGACGCGGAAAATGGCGCCACATAATGAGCTGATGTCGTCGACCCGGGCCGCGGGGGCCTCGTGGTGGCGGCGACGCCGAGGACGCCGGAAGACCGGCGCCAGCGACCAAATCTCTAGACGCGTTTTGGACTCCAGAGTCGCTAAACAGGACTCGAACCGAGCGTGTGACCCCACTACTGGATTCCTCGTTCGGAGAGCAATCCATTGGTGGGGTCACACGTTCGGTTCGACTACCTTGTAGCGGGATTTTGACCGCCTCCAACGGTCTTCTGGCCCGCTGTGCGCCGGGCGGACAGAGACGTCGCGCTGCAATCACATTGTGCCGGCCGCGGAGGCAGGCAGGCACGACGTGGAGGACGGCCGGCCAACAACACACATTTCACGGAGCGGCCGGGCGGGCCGGGGGCATTGCCGAGGCCGGCCTGCGACATTGGCGGAAAGTTTGGAGGCGCGGGCCGGCGTGCGGGCCGCCGCCGCGCCGTTCTGTAAATTTGATATCTTCCACTACATTACGTGCGTCCTCTGGGCCGTCCCGGCCGTCTTGGCGGACACGGCTGCCCTTGTCCACCGGAGTTAGGCGGGGAGTTGTGCGGGACTCGCCAAAAAGAATTCCGTCGCGGGGGAAGGGAGTGAGAAAGAAGGACCGAGCCAGGCGTAGCGGCGTAGCGGCCTAGCCAGGTGCCGTTACGTGGCGACCGACCCACATCCGTCGCTTGGTGTCGTAACGCTGGGGGCGGGGGGTGTCCCATCCCAGCCCAGCGCTCAGCCAGGGCTCGCCGGCTAGACCGGGGAATTTCATTTGAGAAGTGAATCGCGTGTAATGACGGGCCCGATGTTTGATTCGGGCCGACTCGGCTCGCCTCCCCAATCTGCCAACATTGTGTTCGCCAAACGTACGCCAAGCGTCCCCCCCCCCTTCCCCCTCCCGGCGTCTCCGAGTCCCCTCCACATGCGCCACACGTCCCTACGCCACGCGGCGCCACGCCACCAGTCATCAGAAATGTTAGCAACTCGCCAAACGAGAGCGACATTCACGCTCGCCTTTTTAAAAAGAGTTTGGCGCTTCGACCCTCCCTGGCATCGGACCGACCCGACCGGGGCACCGCAATGACATTGTTTCTTTGCTTTTGCAGATGACCCGTAGCATCCAAGTGAAGGCAGCGGAGGCGGCAGACCCCAGGGGTGGTGAGTACCCTTTCCATTTTTCCCCCTTTATTCATTTATCACTGTGTCGTGCCACTAGAAATATCTGCTTGCCGAGCACGTCGCGTCTGTGTGTGGATGTGCGTGTATGTACGTGTGTGTGTGTGTTTGTAGAGACAGCGGGCTGGCAAGGTAAGCGTGCGTCACGTGTGGGACAAGCCAGCCGCCCTGGTCTTGCATTTCCGGGCGCGGACAAGAAAGGCAGCCCGTTTTTTGCGGACATTACTTTAATTGCAGCTCCTGGTGACCGGCAATGCCGGGCAATGCATTTCATTCCATTTGGCGGTCGTAATGGCCCCGAATAAAAGCAAGAACGTAATGTGCAGCTGCAGAGTCTTAACTACCTCCTGCTGCTGCTGTGGCCTGTCCCTTGTTATTAATATCGTGTTAGCAAGCAAGCGAAGCGCTTCCGCCGTAGCCACTCCACGCCCCTCCCGAAAAAGAAAAACTTTTTTTTCGGTGCTTTTTGCCCGCGTGTCCCTCGGGCCGCGATTGGCAGGGCAAAGCTGTCACTCTGCAAGGAGGTGTGGTCCTGCGAGGTTCCCTTATCACTCTGGCCGTCACATACTTCAACCCTTTCCCACCCCTCCCGGCCTGCCTGCCCGGCCTGCCTGGGCCTCGCCATGCCGCCATGCCCTCGCCATCCAGTGCACACAGGCCCTAACTCTGCGTCGTGGACTTTTACTGCCCCCCCAAGTCATCATCGGCGGCGCCTATGCCGACGCCCATGCCCCGCAGGCAGGGCCGCGGGTAGGGCAGGGCCGCACAGGACTGCGCACACACTCTCGCACACTTTCGCTCGGCTCCAGTATGGCGGCGCCGCTAACGGCCGGTCCGCCTGCTCGCCGTGCTCCGTCGACTTCGCGCGGCGGCTTCGGTCCGAGGGCGTTTATTCGCCATTAAATGGCGCTAAATTGTCCTCGCGGCGGTGGCTGCCTGCCGGGCTGGCTGCCTGGCGGCGAGGCGAGCGAACGTGCGGAGGCCTCCTTAAGCAATAATGCATCTCCGGGCCCCGCAGCCTAACAGTCTCCGAGGACTCATGACACACGCCCCATTCGTGTTAACCCGGCTGTTATTACCCCCGGGGCCCCCGGCGCCACGCCCCGCCACGCCCCGCCGCGCCCCGCCGCGCCTCGGCACCGCATTAAATATTGCCACCTTGAGGGGGCTAGCGGAGCGAGCGGGACAGTCGCACAATCCTCGTGCAGTGGGACGAGGACGCGAAAGAAGGTCTCACTTTCTTTCCCCGTCCTTTGTTGGCACCATCCATTTTAATTCCCGGCATGCAACGCGCTCCCCGACGCGTCCCCGCAGTACGTTACGCCCTTTCGCCAAATTACCGCCCGTGGTAATAACAGGCTTTTGTCAACGCGAATTGAAAAGTGTCACATTTCCCTTACCTTTTTTTCCCCGCATTGCCGTCACCTCGGAGGCTCCTCTCTTTCATCGGGTCGCCTCATCCGCTGCCCTTCTGCCCCGCTGCAGCAGTCGCACCGAGTCGCCCTGCCCCGAGCCCTTTTGCTAATTGGTGGATAAATGACCTTTCGACATGAAACGCAGGGAGGGGGGGGGGCTGTTCACGGCTCTAGCGTCCCCGAGCGACCCACCCTGGCGGCCTGACCGGCTCAGCTGCACTAAAATCGATTGGATCCAATAGAGCGGGAAACGAATCGCGTCTAAAAGGCGGCCTCGCCTTCCTCCGCCCGTCAGCTGGTCGGACAGGGGGAGGGGGAGGGGGTGTCCCCGCGAAGCGCCGCGAAGAGTACCGCCAGCCGGCTGGGCTTGTTCATAATAATAAGGGTGGGATTCCAGGGCCCATCGCACTGCTCCAGGGCCTGGAGCGAGGCCTGGAGCCTGCGCGGGGAACCTGCAGAAAGAACGGCAACTGCCGAGCGGATGTCGGACTTGTTGACGGCCGCGAGCTCTGCTGGGAAAAGGAAAAAAAAACAGTCGGTAGCGGGGCGCTTGGCTGTGCTTGGCTGTGCTTGGCTGTGCGCTTCAGCCTGCAGTGAGGCGGGTAGGCAGCGCGGCGGCAGTGCGGCGCGGCGGGCCGGCCTACCTCGCAGGCGCCAAGGCGGCGGCCGAGGCGGCCGGGGGAAACAGCTGTCGGGACTTTCCTCTGTCTCCGCGTGTGTCCTTAGGGGCTTGTGCGTGTGTCTGTGTTTGTTTACGTGTGTGTGTATATGTGTCTGTGTATGTGTGTGCCCCTGGCTGTGGCGATACGTTTCCATAAGGCGGTGACTTTTATGAGCATTGATATTACAGGAGGCGGTGCACGGCTAGCCGGCCTCCCTCGGCGCTGCTTGGCGCCGCTCTGCGCTGCTCGGCGCTGCAGTAGCCCCGAGTGGAGTGCGGCGGTGGGTCCGAGGCGGGGCCGAGGTGGGGCCGCGCGAGGAGGGGAGGGGAGGGCATGATTGATACAAAGGGGGAATTTCCTTCTTTCGTTCTGCTTTAGGAGGTTAGCCGCACGGGGGAAGAGGGTCGAGTTGGCTCAAGTCGCATTTGTCGAATAGTTCTCCCCGGCATCGGCCCCGCCTCGCGCCCCGCCCGGCCCGGTCCCGGCGACTCCACTCCAACTTGTGTACCTGTGTCCGCACCTCGCCCCGCCGCGTCTGTCTGTTCGACAGGGCAAACTGGCTCGCCCCGCCGCGCCGCGATGATCTGTGGACAAACTTGGGGACGAGATGTTGACTAAGTTTCAAGTGAGGCTTCGCCAAGGGCCGGGCCCTCGCGCGCCGCCCCGCCCAGGCTGGCAGCCCGGCAGCCCCCGCGACGCCATGGCATGGCATGGCCGCCGAGTGTATTAGCGGGAGTGATAAGACTGGCTATCTTCGGCCGGCGCCGCCTTAAAAACGAACGGGAGGGCGAAAAAGAGGAGCGGGTCGCCGAGACGGCTGGCGCAGGGCGCACATCACGTACTTGATGAGTCGGCTAATGTGCAGCCCGGGCGGTGCCGGAGCGGTGCCCGGCCGGCCGGCTGATGGTCCAAGTTGGCGTGCAGCGGGCGCGGCCGTGACCCAAGCGCGCCCCGCGGCTCGGCGGTGCAGACTCGGCGTGCGACTTGTTAGTTCGAATTCAATATCCGTCCCGCGTGCAGCGCAACTACTAATCACCGCGCGCGAATCCTCCGTCGCGCACTGCGTGTGTGTGCGCACGTGACCCGGTTTTTCATTCAGCTGTTGCGCGTTCCAAAACGTGTGTAATTACGCGTCGCCATTAAGACGGCTGCCAGCCCTGCCTGCGCCACCTCGGTCGCCTGGGCTGGCTGCCAGCCCCGCCTGCCCCGCCAGCAAGTGGCTGGCCGCAATTTAAAAGCCGGCGGCGGCGAGTCGGCGAGGCCCGTGCCGGCCTGCGCCAGGGCGATGAGGATTGGGAAGGAGAGGGACGGGGCAGAAAGGTTGGTAATATCCGACACAACGACATGGTCCAGCGGTCCGCTGGGAGGCGACCCAGCGCCCCCAGGGCCGGGGTGGGGCGGCCCCAGGCCCCAGGCCCTTGAGGGGAGGGTTTCATTTTACTGGGCGCTGGGCTCTCGGCCGGGCCCTTGATGAAACGGGCCGGGGCTGGTTTACTGGGTTTCGGGGCGTGTCGCATTCCGGCGAGATTTCGGCCGACGGACCCTCTCGGGAGGAAAATCCGGTCATGTCATGCTCTGACCTATCGGCATCATCCTGCTTGCGCTTGCCGTAGTCCGCCGCTTCCTTCATCTCTGTCTCTCTTTCTCCCTGTACTGATTTGCAAATATCCATTTCGTGCGAACTGCTCCACTTGCCACCTCAACGTGTGTGGCAGTGGAGTGGACTCTTAGCGGCAAACATCAATAACGCAGCATTGCTTACCCGGCCTCAGCTTGATCAGTTTCAGCAGAATGTCTTAATCCTTGCCCCCATTGTTGTACTTAGTTCGTTTTTACGTCTGCCATGCAGTAGACAACTTCCTAATGCGGCATTACGTAGATTGTTTTTGTTCTCATGTTCCTGCATGACACTTTCAGTGCATTTCGGAATGTTGACTGTTGTCTTAACTGTCGTAGATCTGAACCATTTCAGTGTTCCTTGGGATTGGTTCAATTACGAACTGATGCGCAGTGTTCAGCTTCACACTTTTACACACGAGTAAGATCTTTCGCTTTCGAAAGAGACGATTCCTCAACTCGTTTACTTGATTTCTTCTGGCCTTGCTCGGCAACAATCGACAAAGTGTGTTTATCTTTTCAAGAAGGTGTGCGGCTGAGGGCTGTGTGCTTGGACCCTGTTAACGCTGTTCTCTGCTGGCAGTGTCTTCTTCTTTCCTCTGTTCTGTCATTTCCAGACTTGTCGGCCGACGGAAGCGGCGCCGCTCCGCGCAGCCGAAGCCTATTTTGAAAAGGTAATTGTTTCCGTGTTGATAGATGGGTGTGCTTTTATCTATTTTCGTCTTAGTTTCGTGCCGTTTTCCGTTGTTTGACTTCTTGCCAAACGCGGGCAAGACAGAAAAATGTTTTGTTGTTGTTTTTTGTTTTAACGTGTAAAGAAAAGTAAAAGCGTAACCCATTCATCTTATCATGGTCGCGGGGCAAAGTTTTCATTCCGCCGCGGTTCTTACATCCGATTATATGTGACTTGATCTACCAATCGCCTCCCAATCCGATTGTTAAAAATAGACCTTTTTCACACCGATGTGGGTCCTGATTTTATTTTTTGCGTGTCTCGGATAATTTGCCCGAGATGTTAAATTTTCACGAAGGTCATGACTCCCTTCTTTGTGTGCTAACCATTGATGTTGTGCCATAATTATTGTTATGTGTGTGAGTTTGCACTCTAGCTGTGAGCTTTCTGTGGTTTATAAATGTATAACCTTGTACAGATTTACTTTTTGCTACGGAATGTCTTGTTATACCGTCTTCTGTATGTTTGGTGTTTGATTGTTGTGATCGTGTTGTACTATGCTAATGCCAGTTCTCTCTTTGTGACATGCATCCCTGTTGATTTAAACCAGTGTAATGTATTCTTTTACATTATTTTGTTTTATTTTTTTGCCTAGTCCCCTTGTGTACATTCGAAGGTGTGTCTCTTCCAGGCGTCGTCAGCGAATGCTTTCCCGGCGAGGTGACGCCCTCAACACGACACTGCGTCGAACTAGCCAAGATGGCGTCGGAAACAAATGGTGGTGCGGGGATCAGGGGCCACCATTAGTTTCAACTAAACTGCAGTTAGGACAGGGCTGGCCGTGCGGGGAGGGGGTTGTTTACACCTATGTGTCCCGCGGGGGGCTGTCCGGTGCGCTGTGCTGCGCGCTGACGTGTTGAATTTCACTACCGTCACGTAGGGGAACAGCGTATAGCGACGTATAGCCCGCGGTGACAGCGCACTTTTTCTTCTCTATTTCGCAGCGCTCGTCCCCCTGTCGCAAATTACACAGCGCTTTTCTCTCGGCGCTTATACCGCTCTGTTTTAAAAAGAAAACACAACAGAAAGAGTGGACAGGTGTCTAGTTTCGATGTGTGGGTCGGGTTTTCTAATTGTTTCGAATGTTAGAAGTGTTTCCCTCGTGCAGAGCCGTGTGCCCCGCGGACTGAACATGTTTTCCTTTTCAAACCGCACCAAGCCGGGAGGCGCTCACACACTCACACGGGGGCTTACACACACACACGCACACACAGGGCCCCCACCCCCGTTGGTCCCTTTGTTCCCCGCTATTCGTTCACGTCACTGCATTTTGCTGCTGGCTCTTGTTGCCGACATAACGACCTGTATCCGGTTCCCAGTCCTCTGCCCGCCCGCGCGGCCCGCCCCCGGCATGAGCAGCCCATCCCTAGTCCGACCCGCAAGGCCGCAGGGCCGCAGGGCCGCCGGGAGTACCAGACATCTTGCCGTAGTTACGTGACCGCCAAAACAAAACTAAAACAGAAAATAAGAAAAATTTAAAATAGAAAACCGGAAGCCGAGTAAAAGCCACCTTTCATTTGTGCGCCGTGCTCGTCCGTGCCTTAAGGCGAGGCGAGTGAGTGTGGCGACGATATGTGCGGCGAACCAAAACAGCGGTGGAAAAACGTGTCTAATTTGAAACTCGCAGCGCGTGGCCTAATGAGGGAGGCAGAAAGCAAAGCAGGGCGGAGGGAGGGAGGAGGAAAAGGGGGTCTCATTTTCAATTTCACTCTCGTTTGACTTTGAAATGGCCACATCTCATCGCGCCCCGCCCGCGATAGTGAATGTTGATGATGGGACACCCGCTAACGGCGTCATCGCGTGCTTCCGCGGCCCGCGGGTGGGAAGAGGGAAAGGGGATACCCACCGCAACAACGCCAGCGCGCTGCAGCGAGGGCTCTCGATCGGAGATCAATACCTTGACCTGTTGCTGGCAAGCCCAGCCACACGTTTCAGCAGCAGGCTGGCCGGGCTGCGTGGTAGTGCCGCGTTAAGGACAAGTCCGTCCCCGCCCCGCCTCGCCCCGCCTCGCCCCGCCTCGCCCCGCCGTGGCGTCCCAGTGCTGCACGTCCTCTTTGATTGCACTCGTTTTTCTTCGGCAAACAATCTGAGCTCGCCGCACGGAGGCTCCTCGCGTCGGGGTTGCTCCCACCATCCTCTCGAAACCAAGCAGTCGAAAGTTTTTGCTCTAAAGAGAACGGACCGTCATTTACCTGTTTTATGAGTTATGTAAACGGAGGTTCCGAACCCATGACCCGTTAAATTTCAAAAATCGATTTCCCCCTTCTTTTGGCTATCCTTCCTAGAAAATCGGTGGGAAGGAGTGACGCACCCACAAAGTAAAACAATGTTGTATTAAATTTGCTTTTTTTTTCCGACGGGCTGTCAGGCGACCCTCATCCGGGGGCCGTGCTGACTTGGCCGAGCCTTTCAAATCCTGTGGCTCCGCGCCGCCCGCGTCTCCATGGACCTCTGGAGGCGTCGCGTCGTGCGCTCACCGCGGGGGGCGGGGCGCGGCGGGGCGGGGCGGGCGGGGCGGGGTGGGGCGCGGCGGGGTGGGCTGTCAGAACTCGTAGCAGTGCCGGCGGCGGGACATGGCAATCACAGAATATAACAGAGCAAATAGGGCTCGCACCCCAGGGGTGCAGTGCAGACAGCTCCCCCCCACCCACCCCTCACCAACCGACCACCCTTCTCCCTTTCACACTGCTGGAACCAACCGGTCCCTATCCTCCATTCTGCTTTCTCACCTAATTTTCTTTAAAGAAAAAAAAATAAGGGGAAGGCCCTCCTTTGTCATGGTTTGGCCACTCCGCCCTTGCCTGCCGTTGCCCCCCGCGACGCGCTGAGCCCTGGGCCGAGGGCTGGGCCAAGGGCTGCCCCCCCCCTCCCCCTCCCAGGACGAATACTTTGTTGGCATATTGCTCTATGCTCTGGAACAATTGCCGGCACACGGAAGGAGATTCTTCTTTCCTTTGTTTGCGCGTGGGGATCCAGCGGCGCCGTGCCGCGCCACGCCGCCCCATTCATTTAGTGGGACCAACAAAACCCAGAGGCTCCTCACATTCTCACCTCCAACAAAGAAAAAAGACATATGACTAGCAGTAAGTGAAACTTTTGAAATTCGTAATTTTTGTCCCCTCTGAAGACGTGTGACCTTTCATTTTTAGTTTCCCTCTCGTCAGGATGATCTCACAGATTCCGTCTACCCGTAGGTAACGATGTCTTCTCCTCATGTGCATCTTTAGAAGAGAAGGCATGCTCTTGTTCTTATTTTCCTTTCATTATCTTTGATTTGTTTCCTATTTTTGCAGCGCATTTGGTTTTGGTTTCTTATTCTCAATATATATAGAAAAGTGACATGACTATAGTGGCGAGAACACGAATTTCTGTGTCACGGCCAGCGCCAATGATGCTATGAGCCACAAGGAAATCTCTGCTCGGCTGGTCAAGATTGACTACTTTCGCCAAATGATCACATCTCTTTAAGCAGGCAGAAATTTGCGTTCCAGTCACGCTTCCTATTTTTTGTGGAATGTTTCTGTGTTTGAATGTCGCTATTGGTGTTGTGTTTATGAATGTGAATGCCTTATTTAGTTTGTTGTACATGCTTCGACGTTTTGAGACAAAAGAAAAAAGGATTGCGTTATTGTTTTAGTTTTCGTAAGACTAATAGGTGTTTTTGTTTTTTTTCTTCCCTTTTTTCCCCGCCTCCCTCCCCGCTGCAGACCGCAAGCTGTTCGTGGGCATGCTCAGTAAGACACAGACTGAGGAGGACGTCAGACAGCTGTTTGCGCCGTACGGAACCATAGAGGAGTGCACCGTGATTCGCAGTCCGGACAACACGAGCAAAGGTAGGCAACGACTAGCAGTGCGCGAAGCTAGAGGGGATTCAACCTCCGCGCTCCACAGTGGGCCAGAAAACCGCCGGAGGCGGACAGAACCCCGGACGCGTTTTGATCTCCAGAGTCGCTAAATGGGACTCTAAGTGAACGTATGACCGTACCAATGGATTCCTCGTTCGGAGAGCAATCCATTGGCGGGGTCACACGTACGGTTCGTGTAACATTTAGCGACTCTGGAGCTCAAAACGCGTCCGGGATTTTGACCGCCTCCACCGGCCCTCTGCCCCACTGTGCACTCACCCAGCCACCGTCATCAGTTTCGCGTCCCTTTCCACGGAGCGATTGCGGACGATCGTTCCGTCGCTCTGCCTCTCTGGCGCCCTCCAGGACGCGCCGTGAGTGCGACGGCGCTGCGACACGACTCCCCGCACGGCGGCAGCGACACGCGCCGCGCGTGCGGACTCGGCCCGCGCGACAGCCCGACAAAATGAACGTCATATTGCTGGTGATTTACGGCCGGGCCCCGCGGCCTGCCGTCGGCCTGCCGCCGCCCAGCACGGCGAGGAGGCCCGTCGCCAAAGATTCCTCTTTTTGTTTGTGTTGGAAGCCTTTCCGTCTCGTGCATAATTTATTTATGACATCGCGCACCCCCTTCCTCGCTTGATGCGACATTGGACAGACAGCAGACGGGCGGCAGCGGCGCGGAGAGTCGAACCCGCGACTTTGGAAAGCCACGGGCACCCTCACTCACTGCAAGACGGCGGCCGCGGCGGCCCGGATCAAAGCAGCGGTGCCCGCCACCCAGGCGAGCCGAGGCGAGCCACTTGCAGGCTGCTTGGAGCAGAAACGCGCTGCGCTCTGTTTTGCACCGCCGCCACTTTGGGGCTCTGTGCCCTCTGTGCTGCGCGTCCCTCCTCCTTTTGAGCACGGCTGCGCCGGGCTGCGCCGGGCTGCGCGGTGCAAGTGCAGGAGGGGACGCGTCGCCTCATCTCCTAATGGACGCTGAAAGGGGTTGCTGCGCGGCCGGCCCCGCCCTGCCTTGCCCGCCCCCGTGGCGCCGCTCGGCGGTGGCCGCTGGTCAGGTGGTGATAGCGGCTTTCCAATTCGGGCTTCGACTGGCGTGTTTGACCAGCACTCCGGCGGGGACGTTTCGGCGACATCCTGTGCTCCTCGCCGTGTCGGTGTGTGCTCGTGTGTCTGTGTGTGGCGATCCTTCCCCGTCTGCAGGCGACGGCCCTACAGGCGGCGGCCCTACAAGCGGTGGCCCTACAGGCGGTGGCCCCACAGGCGGTTCGGTCCGGGCCCTTCGGGCGCCTTTGGGTCCTACCTGTGTTTGCCGGCGACTGATTTGGCGGGGCGCTGCTGCGGGCGAGACAGACGCACTGCGGTCGCCGACCGTCGGGGACCCTCATCGGAGATGCACCGTGAGCGGGGCCGTGTCCGGTGGGGGAAAATGAAATCTCTGCGAAGGCCGGGCCGGGCCGGGCCTGGTGTACTGGCTGTGCTGGCTGTACTGGTGAACGCGGGGTCTTTAGGCGCCACGTGGGCCTCGGGCGCCGCACTGCGCCGCAGGGAGATGCTCCCGCATTGCTCCCGCATTGCTCCCGCAGACCGGACAGCCGGGCAGAGTGGAGGGGAGGGGGAGGACGCAAGGGAAATGAAGTAAGAAACCTCGAAATTGCACCGGGAAAGAGGATTTGGCGCCGGCGTTGCCAGCAACCTTATTGGGAAGGAGCGCGCCCCCGACCCCGCCAGGCCAGGCCGCCAGGCCAGGCCGCCAGGCTGCCACCTCTTTTCCCGCGCGACCTCGTGTTCCCGCTTAAATCCTCGCCCGGCCGGGAACGCGCTCATCTCCACGCGGACCTTGGCGACGCGGCCGTCGAACGTTTTATGGCGCTGATGGACGCACAGTGGGCCAGAAGACCGTGGAGGTGGTCAGAATCCCGGACGCCTTTTGAGCTCCAGAGTCACCGAATGGGACTCGAACCGAACGTGTGATCCCACCAATGGATTGCTCTCCCAACGAGGAATCCATTGGTGGGGTCACACGTTAGGTTCGAGTCCTGTTTAGTGACTCTGGAGCTCAAAACGCGTCTAGAGTTTTGGTCACCTCCACTGGTCTTCTGGTCCACTGTGGGACGTCGCCCATGCACCCTATGAACCGATAACTCGAACGTGGCTCCATCGCTCTCCCTACCTCCTTCCTGTAAAAAAGTCGATGAAAAATAAATGACCATCGCCTTGTTTGAAATTCTCCGCTTTCCCTTCGTGGTACTGCTTTTTTTCCCACCCCTCTTGCAGCCGGCTGAAGTCATTACCAAGTCACCTCATGAATTTGATGCATGGTTTACCGCTGACATTTGGAGGCCAAAGTGACGCCCATCACTGGCGCATGTTTATTTTATACCCTCATCCGTCTGTCGGCGTTGGTTGCGCTTTTTGCCCGTAATCGCCCCGCGGTGTTTGGCATCACCACTAGTGTATGCTCTCTGAAGCCCGCGTCCACACTCTCGCACATACACACGACATGACATGGAAAATTCCATTAGGGTCGGCCTTAATTTTTGCAGCAGGCTTTTCTGAAATTTTTGCCGCGGGTCACCATACCATAACATTCTACCGCACCGCTCGCGGGGCAGCGTGATGCGTGCTGGCGCGCACGTGTGTACCGCGCGAGGGCCTACATGGAGTGCGTCGCCACGCCGCGCCACGCCGCGCCACGCCGCGCCACGTGGGATTAGCTGGCGGTGCCGCGGCGTCGCCACCACACCACAAAGCAGCCGCGCGGCGTTATTTGCAGGGCCGTATTTGCAGTGCGGGCCAAAGGCAGACCGCCATGGGGGCGCTCTTCCTCCTCCTCCTCCTCTTTCTTCTTCTTCTTCTTCTTCTTCTTCTTCTTCTTCTTCTTCTTCTTCTTCTTCTTCTTCTTCTTCTTCTTCTTCTCCTCCTCCTCCTCCTCCTCCTCTTCCGGTTTCCCATCCCCTTGCGGGGCCACGCCCCCCTCCCCGCAGCAGCGGGAAAATTCCTATAAAATTTTGTTTAGTTTGCAAAGTAGTTAAATGGCGGGGCGTGGCTGCCCTGGGGGCCACCAAATACCCCTCGGCGCGCCCCGCCCGGCCCCGGCGCCCCGTGCCACGCCTCGCCAACGCCACGCCATGCCGGCCGAGGGGTAGATAGGGTGGCAGGGGAATGTGAGAATGTATTGGAACATGCGTGGCTCCGTGCCCCCGCCCTGCCCCCGCCCGAGCCCCATCGGGTGGCCCTATCGGCCCTCCGCGCCCCGCCGCGCCCCGCCGCGCCCCGCCACGCCCCGCCACGCCCCCGACGTAATGAAGCTCAACCAGCGAAATGCCGAGATAATATTGCCTTTCCCGGCTCCCCTGGCATGCGCGCGCGTGTCGCGCTGCGTTTTCCTTTATTTTTACATTTTTCGGTATTTTTGCTATTTCTTTTTCCCTTTTTTTGCTTTTGGACCGGTGCACCTCGTAGTGTCGGGCCGGCCTGTGACAAAGGCCCAAAGTGGCGCACGCCCCAGAGCCTCCGAAAGGCAGGCCGAGGCAGGCCGAGGCCCAAAGGGGCGGCGGCAGCGGCAGCAGCCGCGCCTTCCTTAAATTGGAAATTCACTCTGTTCGCTGTGCGCTTGGCTTGGGGGAGGCCCGCCCGCCCCGCCCCGCCCCGCCCCGCCGGGTCCCGGGCAGGCGCAGCCTCGCCCGGGGCGCGGCTCGGCGTGGCTCAGCGCGGCTCGGACCTCGGCGGGATGATGATGATGCTCTACAAGCAGCTGGCCGGCCGCCTGGAAACTAAAGCCCTGTCCAGGGAGATGATCCGGCCGAGGACGCGCCGCGGCCTGATGCGGGCTGATGACGCTGCTGGACCCCGAAAAACTCGCCCTGGCCGTCGGCGTGCCCCGAGACTGCAGACTGATTCTGGGAGTCGTTTTCACTGCTCTGTCTCTCTCGCACCTTTCCGCCGGGACGCCCCACGAATGCGAGAGAGACAGAGCGACGAAAACGACTCTCAGTCCTGGGCGAGGACGACGTGGCCGGCGTCGTCTCTGGCGCCGTGATTTACCGGTGGCGGCGTCGGCACCGTCCGCCCGGCCAGGCCGGCCAGCCCGCCACAAATTCCTCCTATATTCCCGCCGACCGCCACAAACGGCGCTGCTTGGTCCGGCCGTGCTGGCCGTGCTGGCCGTGCTGGCCGTGCTGGCCGTGCTGGCCGTGCTGGCCGTGCTGGCCGTGCTGGCCGTGCTGGCCGTGCTGGCCACCCCAGACGCCGCCCTCTGTCACACTTACGCGGACCCTACGGTCCAGCGGCGGCGCGGCGGGGGCCGCGGTGGCCTCGCCTCGGTGGCCGCGCCACCAGCGTCATGCCCTTCATTTGCGGGCTGCGGTCGCGCGGTCCTCGGGGCACAAGCTGGCACGGGCACTACCAGGCCGCCGGCCTATCGGAAATAACCACGGCCCTTGCGGACTGATTCCGAGAGTCGTCGCTCTGTCTCTCTCGCACCTATACGGGACGCCCCACGAGTGCGAGAGAGACGGAGCGGCGAAAGCGACGCTCGGAGTGAGTCTGCTGCTGGGCTGCCGGGGCTCCTTAGCAGCCGCTTCATTCAGCCTCCTGCTCCTCTTCGCCTCGCTCCTGCCGTGCTGTCCAATTTCCCTGCGCCGCGCCGCGCGCACCGCGGCCCGGCAAATAGGGCGGGGAGGCCAATCTTTGCACCCGCGACGGATTACGCCCCCCCCCCTTTCCGTGCCCTTTGCCTGTGTTTGGTTTGGCTCGGGCCGCCCGGTCCATAGGCAACCCTCCGCGGCCCGCAGCTCGACGGGCGGGTCCCGGTCCTACCATAGCAGACTGATTCCGAGAGTCGTTCCCCTCGCTCTGTCTCTGTCGCACCTACACGGGACGCCCCATGAGTGCGAGAGAGACAGAGCCAGTCTGCAGGGCGGGCCGAACCAGGGCACCTCGCCGCTGATCACCGTGGGGGCGTTGGCGCTTTCACTCGCCGG